CCTCCTTCCCTCCTTCCCTCCTTCCCTCCTCCTTCCCTCCTCCTTCCATCTTCCTCCTCCTCCTCCTCCTCCTCATCCGCCTCCTCCTTCTCCTCCTTCTCCTCCGCCTCCTCCGGGGGGCCGCGGCGGGTCCGGTCCAGATTAATATGCGCAGGCTGGTGCTGCGGCCACCCACGTGGGCCTGCACCAATGGTCACTCCAGCGAAGGGTCACTTTCACGCGTGGCCGACTCTCCAACAGCGCGGCCCTGTCGATATCGCCGGGCACCTGTCTACTGGCGGCGCTCCACCGTGAACGCCCGCGCCGGGGTCGCCGCCGCAGCGGCGCGGCGCAAACCTTCGTGAGATAAGACCACCGCTGGGGCCGGGAAGGTCAGGCCGGAGGGGCGTTTTCGCCCCGTTCCGGGCCCCAAGACCATCGCAGATGGATGCGGCGCGAAAAGTGGCGGATTGCGGAAACCCTGAGCCTAAAAATGTTCTCATCTCTTCGGGGCGCATTTTTACTTCCTCCACCTTCCGCCGCCCTTCCGCCAGCTTCCGCTGGCGAAGGCAGCCTGGTTTTACTTCCGCCGACCGTCCGCCGCCTTCCGCCGAGGATGAGATGACAACTCCTTCCATCCTCGAAGGCAAGGCCCTTCTAGGAACGCCTCAACTGCAGTGGAAGGATGGGGCCTGGGACTTTGGTCTTGATGTGTCCCGATGTCGCCATGTTTAGCTGCGTCGAATCCCGACGCTGATTGCGCAGCAGCGTCCGCTCCGAACGGAGGGAGGATGAGGGAGGAGGAGGGAGGAGGAGGGACTGGTACTTCCGCGCCGAAAGGAGGGAGGAGGAGGGAGAAGAAGGAGGATGAGGAGGAGGAGGAGGAGGAAGAGGAAGAAGAAGAGGAGGAGGACAAGGAGGAGGCCGAGGAGGAGGAAGACAAGGAGGAGGAGGAGGAGGAGGGGGAGGAACCAGGGAGAGGTGGAGGACGGGGAAGGGAGGAACCATCTCCTCCAACTTCTCCTCCCTTTCCCTGCCCCTGGTCCTGCTCCTCCTCGCACCTGGTTCGGACTGAAGGTCTGCCTCAGCCTCCGCCTGAGGCCGGAAATACAGCAACAACACAGCAACACGAAACTTACGCCGTGCAGTTCTTCATGGCGCGAAGACGTGTGGGTCCTCCGCGCCCCTCTCCTCATCGTCGCCGTCCTCCTCCTCCTCCTCCTCCTCCTCCTGATCCCCCGCCTCCCCTCCTTCCTGTCCTCCCCCCCCTCTCCCACTCCCGCCCGCCCCCCCCCCCCCCCCCCCCCCCCAGGGTGCCAGTGCGACAAACGGCCGCCTCCGTCCTTCCCTCCTCCCCCCCCCCTCTCCCACTCCCGCCCGCCCCCCCCAGGGTGCCGTTGCGACAAACGGCCGCTTCTGCTGCAGCGGCCGCTCCCGCTGCCGCGCGGCGAAGGCCTGACCCAGAGAAGGTCGTCGTCGTCGTCGTCGCCGTCGTCATCGTCGTCGTCGTAAAGGTAGCTGTCGTAGTGGTCGCTGTCGCGGTCGAAGTGGTCGATATCGTGATCCTGGTGATCGTCGTCGTCGCCGACCTAGGCGACGCGGGTCGTCGCCTTCGTCATCCGCCTCGTCGCCACTCTCCTGCCCCGACTCGCTTCTTCTCCTCTTCGTCCTTATCGGCCCCTCTAATCTCCCTCCTCACGGAGGCGGATAGCCAGCGGGGGGGGCGGAGGCGGATTCTGCGCGGGCGGATGATGATCCTCCTCCTCCTCTTCGTCCTCCTCCTCCTCCTCCTCCTCCTCCCTTTCCTCCTCCTCCTCCTCCTCCTCCGCCTCCTCCTCCTATCCCCTCGTCCTCCTCGTCCTCCTCTATCCTCGTTCTCCGCATCCTCGTCGTCGTCGTCTTCATCCTCCTCCTCCTCCTCCACCTCCTCCTCTTCTTCATCCTCCTCCACCTCTTCCGCCTGGAGGAGGACAAGGAGGAAGAGGAGGAGGAGGAGGAAGAGGAAGAGGAGGAAAAGAACACGCAACAATATAGAACGAACTGAAACGGATAACGAGAAGAAACAGGATAATCATCCTGGGCATCCTGCCACCTCGTTCATCTTTGAACTCGTCCTCCTCGTTATCCTCATCCTCAGCCTCGCTGTTCTTCCTCGACCTCCTCCTTGTCCTCCTCTTCCCTCCTGACTGGCTGACTGAAGGCATCGGAGTCCCTATGGACGCTGTAATCCTCTTCCCTCCTCCTCCTCCTCCTCCTCCTCCTCCTCCTCCTCCTCCTCCTCATTGTGGCCGACACCATCGTCACCGTATTCCTCTCGCCTCTCCTCGGGGACAGGGGGACATGGTCAAGCCAAAGACCGAGCGAGGATTACCACGGGAGACGAGCAACAGAGAGGCGGAGGTGGGATGCCGGGAGGAGAAGGAGACAAGAACAAGAGGGGAGACATGATGAGGATACCTGACACTTGGCATGGAAGACCACATCTGCCGCTCCCACTCTACTGCCGAAACCCCAGGCATGGAAGAGAATTTAGGCCTGCTCCTGCCTGCAACTCTTGCTGCTGCCACAGTAGCAGCAGTGGAAGCGAAGGGAGGCGGGAACGGAGGAGGCGAGAATAGAGAAGAAACTGCCAACGCCGATGAACCCGCAACACGAAAGTACTAGATACGAAATCCAGGGTCTGGGCGCTGGTGGAACTCCCCTCGTGGATTGGCTATATCACCGCCCCCCCTCGTCAGACAAGGACCCCCCGCCCCAGGGTCTGCAGCCTCTTGGGCACACTCCTTGACGAGCGCCCCCCCCGTGATCCGCCCTCCGAGCAGTGGAAGGCGGGAGCCTGACGCATACTGGCAGCATGCACGTGGAGCGGACGAGGTGGCGAAGGGGGAGGGGAGGTGAGCACCAAGGCCGGGAGCTCCTGCAAGGGTGGGGCCGCCCTGAGGGCTACGGGCAGAAGACCCACATCGAGGTCACGCTCAGCCAGCGCCAATCCAACAATGCCGCAGCGCCGCATCGTAATACCTGCATCGCCGCATCGCAGTGCCCGCGGAAGCAATCGATCTTCTTGTCCAATTCGATCGTCCCAATGGCAGACTCCTCACAAGCAGAGGCCATCCTTCGCGTATCGGCAAGCTGCCGATCGAGAGAAGCGGCGACGGCCGCATTTGAGCAGAGGCCTCGTGCAGCGTCTGCAGCCAGACCCAAGCCATTCAGTCGCGGACGTCATCCTTGCTCGAGATGGCCAAGTGCTGAGGCGGAGGCGGAGGCGGAGGCGGAGAAGCAGGAGGACGGCGAGGGGAACGAGGAGAAGGACTGCGGCCCAGAAACCACGCTAGACACACATGGATATGGCTCAAGCCCCATGGATCATGGGCATACCTGTAGCCGACGAGGACGGCCAGGTAGGAGGAAGAGGAGGACGCAGCAGGACAGAGGAGGAGGACGACAGAGGCCGGGCGGAGGAGGACAGAGAAGACGGAGGACAGGGGACGGGGAGGCGGAGTGGGAGGGGGACCAGGGCTCCCCCGAGAGAGGCGCGGGGGCTCGTTGACCGAGGAGTGGAGCGGGGCTAGTGGTGAGCTCGCTGTTGGGTCCCTGCCCCTCGACACCAGCCTTCCGCGGGGGGCGCGGCAGGGCCGCCGGACAGACAGGGGCAAACGGCCCAAAGGCAACGTCTGCGTCCCCCCCCGCCGACAACTTGTGGCCTCGCGTCCCCCTTCGCGCAGGTGTTGCGAGGGATGCAGAAGGCAGAGGCTCAGGCAGTGCCTCCGCCTTGAGGCCGAATTCATTCTTCAGTCACAGCGCCTTGTCTCTCCCCCACCCCCTCCTTCTACGCCTTTCCCCCTTCTTAGGTTCTTAGGCGTACCCGCCCTGGCCGAATCTCGAAGCGTTTGACCTTCTCCCTCCTGCTCCTCCTGCTCCTCAGCATCTTCGTAATCCTTCTGCTCCTCCGAACCTCGAAAGCTCTGGAAGGCCTCCGAGAGCCCCGCTGTGCTCGAAATCGCCTAAGAAGGGCGCGATGAGCGGCCGGGGGGGGAGACTGGGAAGCTGAACGCCTGCTTGAAAGGTCCCCGAGGACTTCGAGCGGCCCCAGGGGTGCTTCCAAAGGCCGTCGAGGGCCCTCGGGGGCGAGCAGAGGAGGGGGTGGGAGGGCGACGAGGGGGAGGAGGGGAAGAGACGCTTGCCCTCAAGCGCTACGGTCTTGTGGTCAGAGCCGGCTGAGCGCAAAAGAGAGGAAGTCAATCTGCCTTGGGCCCCTCACCATCGGGTGGGGGCACGTACGGCTGCCAGCCCTTTCCAGGGCCCAGGCCTCTCCGCTCCAGCATCTCCAACAGGTCGGACTCGTCCTTGGGGGTCCAGGACCGCCGAGCGTCCAGGGACGCGACCCTGCTGCCGTCCTCGTAGAAGACGATGGTGGGGGCCTGGTCGACGCCGCACTTGCCGCTGATCGCCTTGCAATTGTAGACGTCCACCGCTGCGAAGTTGACCTGCTCGCAGCCCGAAGCCTTGCTCAACTTCGCGAAATAGTGGCTCGCCGCCCTGCTGGTGATGGCCGCCGGGGCGTCTGGCCACCTGCCGTAGAAGTTCACGAGCACGTGCCTCGACCCTGAGAGGGTGTCGTCGAACGTGCTGGGGCAGCTGACCCTGGTCACGCGGGAACCCTCGTACTCGTCCGGGGGGTCGTTCCTGACGATGCCCAGCTGGTAGAGTGCCCAGTAGACCGTCCAGCAGAGCAGAAGAAGGACCCACCAATACTCCTGGAGAAGCGGTCCGTACTCGGCCAGGCCCATGGCCCCGCCCGCGGCCCACGCGAAGGCCGGGGCAGGCCCTCTGAGCCAAAGTGGCCACAGAGAGGGAAAGGAGGGGAGGGAGATGGGAGGTATAGGGAGATGAAGAAGGCAGGACAGGGAGCGGAATGGTCAGGAGGGGGAGGGCATGCCTGAAGAAGGAGGACATGAGGCAGGCAGGGAGGCTGCTATATGTATGGCCAAGCGAAGGAAGCGAAGGGAGAGTATGGAGGCGGATATGGAGCGGTATCGCCACGGATAAGCGGCCAGGACGAGGGAGGATATGGACAGCTATGGGAGGGGCAGCGAGAACAGTCGAGAGGAGGAGACACGTGGAGACAAGGGGGAAGGGGAGGGGGAACGGGCGTGGGCTCTCCTCGCTGCACCCATTCTCTCGCGGCTGTTTTGCGGCTCTCCTCCCCCATTGTTTCCAAATATGCCCGTGCTAGTGCTTATTCTCCGCATCCTCAGTGGGTTTTGTGTTGTCCCTGCACACACCCCGCGCAGGAACCTCACCCCCCCCCCCCACACTCCATTCACAGGCATCACCTTCATCATCCCACCCAGCACTTATCAACATCATCATCAACAACACCACCATCAGCATCATCATCATCATCATCAGCAGCAGCAGCATCGTGACAACCATCATCAGCATCATCATCATCATCAGCATCACCATCATCAGCATAAGCATTAGCATCATCAGCATCAGCATCATTATTAGCATGATCACCATCAATAGCATCATCATTATATGCATCATCGTCGTCATCAGCATCACCACCACCACCACCGCCATCATCATCATCATCATCATCAGCAGCAGCAGTATCATCATCATAATCATCATCCTCATGATCATCATAATCATCCCCACCATCATCAAATTCATCAGACTCCTCCTCATCATCATCAGCATCGGCATCAGCATCGGCATCAGCATCCTCATCATCAGCATCAGCATCAGCATCGCCATCATCATCATCAGCATCATCGTCATCGTCGTCATCGTCAGCGTCAGCATCAGCATTATCATCATCCTCATCATCAAAATCTTCGATATCATCTCCTCACTCCTTCTCCTCGTCCTTGTCCTCCTTCTCCTCCGCCTCATCACCGTCATCATCACCACCAGCATCAGCACCAGCACCAGCACCAGCACCAGCATCAGCATCACCTTCATCATAATAATACTTTCCATGTGCTGTTAATAAAACTATTCTGGGTCGTATAATGCTTGCCAACATCATCATCAGCAGCAGCATCCTCACAATCACCATCAGCGTCATAATCATCATCATCACCATTATCAGCATCATCATCAGCTACAACATCATCAGCAACATCATGATTAGCACTACCACCATCATCATTATCATCACTATATACATCATCGTCGTCGTCAGTATCACCATCTTCACCGCCACCATCATCATCATCAGCATCATCACCATAATCATCCCCACCAGCATGAATTTCATCAGACTCCTCTTCCTCATCATCAGCATCAGCATCATCATCCTCAGCATCATCACCATCAGCATCGTCATCATCATCATCGTCATCGTCGACGTCATCAGCATCAGCATCAGCATCAGCATCATCATCCTCATCCTCATCATCAGCATCATCATCAACATCCTCGATCTCATCTTCATACTCCTCCTCCTCCTCATCATCATCATCATCATCATCCTCGTTCTCTTCCTTCTCCTCCGCCTCATCACCATCATCATCACCAGCAGCATCAGCATCAGCATCAGCATCAGCATCAACATCAGCATCAGCATCATCACCACCTTCATCTAAATATTACTCAGTATATCTACTATTAAAATTATTATGAGTCGCATTGTTATAATCATCATCTCCACCCTCCCCGTCACCATCCATCAGCATCATCAGGCCCCCCGGAAACACGCACACACACGAACACCAACTTACGCACTCACGCACAGACGCACCCACGCGCTCATGCGCCCGCTCAGGAAGTCTGGAGCGGAGGCATGCCGGAGCCTCCTCTGCGAGTTTGTTGCGCAGCAGTCTCGGGCGTGAGCCCCAGTCATGTGGGGCCCGCGTTTTATGTTGGTAATCCGATGCGGCACTCGGCGAACCTACACAAACATGGTTTTTTGATCGCGACGCCAGAACTCCATCCCCAAGGCTGATTTCGGACTCCCAGAGCCAGCTTTGAGTCGGAGCCGTCTGAGGGTCGGAGGTGGCCCAGCACTGGTTCTGGCCAGCAGAGGGCGGGGGCAAGCCTTTTTCGACCTCTGGGGGCCGTTGGTCAGTAACGGATCCGGGGGAATCCGGAGCGAAAATCTGCACCAGATGGACCCTGGGAGGGGTCCAGGGACCGATCTTGGGAGGATTTGGCTCCATTCCCCCTCCTGGCTGATCTTCTGGGGCCCCAACCACTTCAGACCCCCCAGCCGCCTCAGACTGCAAGTCGCTGCGTGCTCTTCGAATCCACAGAACTCCACTCCCAGGCCCCACTTTCCATGTCGGGAGCAAGCTGTGAACCGCCTCGGGCCCTTCGTGCTCC